GAGCTGGAGTGTTGTTAAAGAAGGAACAACACGGATCCTAAAGGTCTCTGATAAGTACTTTCCGCTTTCATCAGTTAAGGCGGCAAATGGAATTTGGTATAAAGCACGATCAGGAACAATGACGATTTCAGGGCCCTCAAGGAATTCCACCACAGGAGCGATGATAAGTTAGTAGCAAATAGGTAGGTTCATTTTGGGTCCTTGGTTATCTTTACTTTCGTCTCTAATTCGCCAACCAGCTTGGCTATCTTCCTCGCATGATTGGGATTCTATCTGAAAACTGTGTAAAGACTGGTCTTCGCAAAGCTCCTCTGGTAAAACGCCAAAACTTCTGAAGTCAAAAAATGTTTCCAAATGTTCTCCTAATCCTTCTTGAGCAATTAGGTCACTTCCTTTTATCATCTGGAAATGTGTGACTCCGGTTGCTTTAAGAGTCCACAAATGTATGCTGCGACAATGATATGAGACGAACAGACAGGTTCTGTTACATTCTTTGGCCACGATACCCTCAAGACCAACCCATGTTCGAGGATTAGCTGAGATTTTATTCTGCGCAAAGTAACGAGCTAACATTAAATCTGCCAAAGCCCTGGCCTTCGAAAGCTCGGAAATATACAGACCTTCACCAGGTCTCCCGTTTGCGCAGAGTAAACAACTGAGTTGTCTGTAGGACAAAATGTTGTCGTCCAAGAAAGATATCTTAAATTGATCGTTGTCGCGGAGAGAGTCATGCATAGTCTCGCATATTTCAATACCAGAACGGAAATACGAGATAGCTTCCTGAGTCTTTCCTTCGTTCATTCTAATCTTTGCCATCATTGTGAGTGATTGGAACTGTGCTTTAATATCTCCCATCTCTTCACTTAATGTAAGTCCCTTCTTCACATAGTCTTCCGCACTAGCATATTTTGCCTGCCTGAAAAAGTAACGTCCAAGGATATAGCAGCCCCAAGCTTCTAGCAGCTTGCTTCCAATTTCTTTGCTTATCGCAAGCGCTTTTTCAAAATACTCTTTTGCACTGATCAAGTTACCAATGGAGTCAAGCACAGCTCCTTGATTGAAATAAAACTTGGCTACCCCTACTCTGTCTCCAATTTCTCTGAAGATCACAAGTGCTTTCTGATTACACTCGTTAGCCTTGCTATACTTTCCAAACCTCAAAAATTTATCTCCGAGCTTTAGGTATGACAGAGCAACTGTACATCTGGCACCAATTTCCTTGCCCATAGTCAATGATTTATCCCAGTAGTCTGATGCCTTCTCATAGTCGCCAACGGATTTATACACATTTCCAAGGTTTGAGTTACACCGTGCTTCTCCATATTTGTCTCTAATTTCTTTGTGCATTAAAAGTGCTTTCTCGAGATGTTCTCTAGCCTCCTCATATTCACCAACTGATGTATATACATTTCCAAGGTTTGTGTGACAGCGCGCTACTCCATTTCTGTCCCCAATTTCTTTGTTGATCACAAGTGATTTCTCAAAATGTTCTTTCGCCTTGTCATATTCGCCAACTGATGCATACACAACTCCAAGGTTTGTGTGACAGCAGGCTTCTCCATTTCTGTCTCCAATTTTTTTCTTGATGACAAGAGATTTCTCGAGATGTTCTCTCGCCTTGTCATATTCGCCAACTGATATATACACAGTTCCAAGGTTTGTGT